CCCGGGCTGGTGGCGCTGGGAGGCGCCGCCGTGGGCCCAGCTGGCGCGGCCGCTCCGGAGCAGGTAACGTGGGCTGGTGGCGCCTGGCGGCGTGTCCCCTGGCCCGGCCCGGCCCGGCCCGGCCCCCGGGACTCGCTTTGCAGCCGGGCAGGGCACGTGCGGAGCACTCGTCTCCTCTTCTCTGGTGTCGCGTTGGGGTCTCGGCCTGCTTGAGGTGTCCCGCTCCTGCGGCAGGCAGCGCTCGCCTCTGGGCCCCGCCGCTCACAGCTCTGCTTTGGCCCTTAGGAGACAAACGCGTGTCGCAGCGCCCGGCCTTGCTCGGGTCCTGCCCGGCTCCCACCTTTAAGGCATCATCCCCTTCCTCCAGCTGGGATCTGTGGGTCTCACCGTACTAAGCAGGTGAGTGATGAAAAGAGAGAGGTGGGCACCCTCTTGGCACCCGTTTTGCATTTGATTGGGAGGTTTCATGAGCACAGGGAAAACTTAAAAATTATTATTTTTTAATTCATTTTTATTATTTTCTGAAGCCACCAGCTGCTTATTTGAACCCAGGCGCCAGTGTGAGCAGTGTCTGGGGAGCCACAGTGGGGCTGCACTGAGCCATCAGCGTTGGCAGGAGACGCTGGCTGAAATAAAAAGACAGCAGTTTCCTCTGCCTTCTTTCTTTCTTTCTGTCTTTTTTTCCAAAGGAGTGTGAAACTGGTAATGCACATCAGAATACGTGACAGGTTTGAAAATGTTGGGCCCACATCACAGCTGAAATAATATGGTGCAATGCCATTGAAGTCACTAGAATTGTGCTAGGCAACCCAGCAGTAAATTTTACTGTGTGTATTCCTTAAATACCCAGCACCATTCAACCTGGATGTCTTGAAGGGATAAAAGACATCACGTCTCTTAATTAACACCAGAGACAAAATATGATCTACAGGAGAGGAGAGCACAGGTCTTAATTCTGCCCTTCAGCCAACAATTTGATCAACTGCAGAGGCCTAGGCCTAGCAGATGGGTACATCTTGCAGCTGAAGCTACCTGGTTTTAGCTGTATTTCTGTAGATGGTAGGGTGGTACTTTAGAAACTGGTTCAGAGAATCATGAGGTTTGTAGGCAAGAACCTATTTTGTGTCATGCCAACAGGCTTTAGAGGTATGGGCCTTCCAGCAAACATACTTGCAGTTTTTACCTTTGGTTTGAATAAAGTGGGTTGTTATGCCACCTACTTGATGAATAATCCGTTTTGTAACACCCTCTGCTATCTCTGAGAAAGGTATGGTTCGTTCATTGTTTGCAAAGCCCAGTTCTGTTGAGTTGCATTGATTTAAGCTGTTGCAGACCAAGTGCCTGGAGACTCTTGCAGGGGTTGAGCCTCCCCCCTCCACTCCAAACTTTGCAGGGCTTTACTGGGTGTTGAGAAAGCTCAGCAGCTTTGTGGTGGGAACCAGCAGTGTACAGAAATGATCATGTGCACTGTTGGTTTATGTTCTAGCAAATTTTTTTGCATGGATTCATAGTGGCTAGGTCAGCTAGCCTGGAAAAAAAAAGGAAAATAGAGCCTGGGACAAGACAATGAGAGATTTTCTTCTGTCATGAGGAACAGTTGTCTTGAGGCACACTAGGGGCATCTCATGAAGAGTTGATCTTGTATAGGGCAGGTTTTTATTTAAGATACCTCCTTTATGTGTGTAATAGTAGCAAGTAGATTGCAAAGCATTTGAGCCAAGAGGTCAGTATCATTAAGTCCATTTCACAGTTGGGGAAATTGAAGCACCTTGCTAGTTTTGGCACCATATAAATGCTTCATAATGGCTAGTTGCCTTCAATTAACTACCTTACCATTTAACTATAAAGATAAATTGGCTGAGCAGGAACACTGTGCCATGGCTACCCATATTGCTTATGGTACTCAAGATAGCCAGGGTATCTCTACATAGCACCAAAATGTGAACATGCTGTAGAGATGACTATTTGAACCATTTACAGACCATTTTAACTTTTATTGCCCATTTTAACTCAGTGATGGGTTCCTCTGAAAGGGCGGTGATATAAGGAGAAGAGGAGCAGTAGCAGTGTAGTAACATTAAATAGATTCCGATGCCTGTTGAAATCAGTATGTTAGACGTACATAGCTAAGGGCAGTATTTGTTCTAGGGTTCTGAATGGGGTCTCACTGTTCATACATGATGATTGCAGGGCCAGGACTCCATGCTGTAGAAATTTCATCCTTTGTACTATGCTCTTTAACCTCTTCTATTCCATGTCTCTCTCTAGCTGCCCTGACTCTAAAAGGTCAGGGATGAAGCAGTTGTCAGCCGAAACTGTCCGTCTCCTTTCAAGTTCTCAGGTGATTACATCAGTTGTCAGTGTAGTGAAAGAGCTGATAGAAAATTCTTTGGATGCGAATGCTACAAGTATTGATGTTAAACTGGTAAGTTTTTTTTTTAATACCAAGTTCAACCTAAGGTAGAAAATTAGATGCAATATAATATGTTGGAATAATTCCTGGATTGTTGTGTTTCATAAGTTTAGTCTTGGTCAATATGTGTCATAGATATAATACATATACTACAATATAATTAATTAAAAGTCAAATTCTGCCCTTGGTCACATCCATGTACCCCAGTTAAAGTCACTCATAGTTATATCTGGCTATAACTGAGATAACAGTTTGAGCCAAGTGTGTTCCTAATGAATTCTTGTATGCTTGCTTTATCACGTCATTCTTTATTAGTCTTGTTTTAAGAGATATTGGGCCGTTTTAACTTAGTGGTTCTCAACTGCGTTGTTGTGAAACTCTTCTAGGGGTGTCACTGCCATGGCCACATCTAAGTAAAACTATTCCATGCACCTTTGTTTCCAGAAGGGGCTTTTAGAGCTGAACTGGTCCAGATCCACATGTCCCTTCTGGAAACAGGTGCACAGGGCAATTCCACCTGGCTGTCATGCTGTAGCAGCCTGGAGGTAATATAGGTATGAGTAATTTTTGTTGTTGTTCCAATGTTGGATAAAACAAATATCTAAACCTTTGGTATTTTTCACAGAATGAAATTCTTGTCCTCTCAGCTCTGGTGAAAGCAAATATCAGATATAAAGTAGACATTTGAGCACTAAGTTTAGATCAATTCTGTCTTTTAATACAATTCCAGTAAGCAAATAGATACTCCAACCCCCCCATACTCATAAAACCAATATAAAGATGTGCTTTTTCCTGCAAAAACCTTTCATTTAATAACTTTAATGCTTTTTCACATTTTCCGTGGTAAAGTAGCAGAAACTTTTTTAGAATGGTGGTTCTTAACTGTGCTGCTACCAGATTCAGAAAAGTTATGGAGGGTACCTTGAGTCTAAAACCATTGTTCTAGTGTGGAATTCTCATTTTAGTTCTGACATTTGGGCCAGACCATGCAAACACCTAAACCTCAATCTGAGACATGTGATGATCTGGTGAACTCCTGTGCTCACTTACCAGCCCCACTGAAGTCAGTGAAATTTTGGAGAGTGGCCATATTTCATGTGTGCAATATGCAATCTGGACATGCGGCTGAAAATAAGAAGCATGAGCTATGTTGTTGGCCATGTCAGAGACTATACCTCAAGCTTATGTTGACTAGGAAATTTAACTGTCTTTTTAATAGATTTCATATATGTTTAGGGTCACAACGGACCTTAGTAGATCATTGAGTCTGACCCCCTGCCCCGGGCAGGAAAGATCATTGGGGTTGGGTAACCCCAGCCAGGTACTAATCCAGTCTCCTCTTGAAGACCTCCAAGGTAGGGGAGAGCACCGCCTCCCCTGGAAGCCCATTCCAGATTCTGGTAACTCTTACCATAAAGAAGTTCTTCCTGATGTCTAACCTAAATCTGCTCTCTGTCAGTTTGTGGCCATTGTTTCTAGTAACTCCAAAGGGTGCCCTTGTAAACAGAGCATCTCCTATTCCTTGCTCTCCCCACCTGACAAATTTGTAGATGGCCACTAGATCCCCTCTCAAACTTCTCTTGCGGAGGCTGAAGAGATCCAGGTTTCTCAATCTTTCCTTGTAGGGCCTCACCTCCAGGCCCCTAACCATCCGAGTAGCCCTTCTCTGGACCCTCTCAAGATTTTCCACATCCCTCTTGAAGTACAGCGCCCAAAACTGAACACGGTACTCTAGCTGCGGCCTTACCAATGCAGCATAGAGGGAAATATTACCTCCCTAGACCTGTTCGTGTTGCACCTGCTAACACATGATAGAGTACGGTTAACTTTACTGATCACTTTGTCACATTGGCAGCTTATATTCATCTTGGAGTCAGCTATGACTCCGAGATCCCTTTCTGCTGCTGTGCTGCTTAGGAAGTCATCTCTCAGTCTGTATGCGTGTTGGCGATTCCTTCTCCCAAGCTGCAGTACCTTGAAATTATCTTTGTTAAACTGCATCCTATTCTGATCTGCCCACTTTTCCAACCTGTCCAATAATCATAAAAATAATCAGAATTATAAACATTTGTAAAAATTATCAGAATTCCTAGTCAACGTGATGTATGACCCCTCTTTTACTAAGTATTTTTAATTAGGCATTTTACAGTGGCAGCAAGTTTCTGAAGGGTGCCAATGACTCTGTTAGGTAGGTGAGTCTGAGTCTGATTTGTAGGAAGCT